TGTTCCCCTCCAGAAGTGATAGATCCCCACTAAAACCAGGGACACTTTCACATTAATAAAAAATTATTTATTAAATCAAATCAAACTCCATCAATCAATGCAATCAAGTCAATCAAGTCAATCAAGTCAAACAAGTCAATCAAGTCAATGAAGTCAATGAAGTCAATGAAGTCAATCAATCAATCAATCAATCAATCAATCAATCAATCAATCAATCAATCAATCAATCAATCAATCAATCAATCAATCAATCAATCATCCATCCATCCATCCATCCATCCATCCATCCATCCATCCATCCATCCATCCATCCATCCATCCATCCATCCATCCATCCATCCATCCATCCATCCATCCATCCATCCATCCATCCATCCATCCATCCATCCATCCATCCATCCATCCATCCATCCATCCATCCATCCATCCATCCATCCATCCATCCATCCAATCCAATCCATCCATCCAATCCATCCGTCCGTCCATCAATCAAGCAATAAATCAAATCAAATCAAATCAAATCAACCAACCAACCAGTCAACCAGCCAACCAAGCAAGCAAGCAATTAATCAAATCAACCAATCAAGCCAATTAAGTCCTATCAATCCACTTCAATCCAACCCATGAATCAATCCACCGATGCAAACGGGTTTTGCCAAGGCTAGAAACTTCTCGTGGCTAGAAACTTCTCGTGGCTAGGCCAAACAGAAGAAACAACAACATGCATGCACCAACAAAAATCTCGCCATCTCGCCAGTCCCAAGCTCCCCAAAGTGAGATGAGCTCTGAGCTCTCAGCTCCCGCTCTCTCGCCGGTCCTCTGCAGGCAGGTGCGGAGCATCTCCGCCGCGATGTCCCCCAGGTCCGCCAGCGGGTCCCGCAGCAGCCAGTCCCGCACGTAGGCCGCCTCAGCGCGCGCTTGCGAGCGACGGAGCCAGGAGCCTTGGAGCTGGGGGACCCCAGCCCGAGGGGGGGGGGGGAATGGGGGGGTCGGGGTGGAGGGGGGGAATTGGGGGGTCGGGGACCCCAAGAAGGCGAAAAACCTCGAAAGAATGCTGGGGAAGCCTACGGTTGCGAAGCCCGGCGAGAGGCTGTGAGTGGTCAGTTGCTGATGTGTTTTTTTTCGTCGCGTTCTGACCAACCTGAAAGTCAAGACCCCGCAAGTTTGCAAACTGCGGCGCGCAATGCAGAAGAATAGTGGCTGCTGATATGGTGGGATGTCTGGAAATCAGGGACCTCTTCGTTGGTTGGTGTTTAAAGGGACATGTGCAGGGTCCCTATTGTGCAGTAGCCATGTTCGTGCTGTCGTCAAAGCAGTCTCTGGTTGCTGCTAGATATCGCTAAACCGTTTGCTCAGAAGAAGGGCGAAAAAAATAAAATTGCTAAGCCTGAAATGAGCCGCGGCCAATAATTGTTGTCCAACTGTCATAGGACATTTGGTGACATTCGTGAGTCCCATGTCAGAGTGCGAGTGTTGACTGTGGCTGTGCCAACACCTTGCCAGTGCTTGCAAAACCGGAAAGGGAAACCAACCATTTCGGTTGAGCCCGTGGGCGGTGATAAGGACATGGCCGTCGCTTGCATCAACCCTGCACCTGAGTTTATGAATCCTGTGAGTAGCGTTTGCACTATATATTCACCCTGTTCAGAGATTTCAATTATCTTAGATCCTCTCAGAACATACAAGTAGTCGGGTTAAGTCCTTGCATCTCGAGTTAAGTCCTCGCAGTCGCTTGGAAGCGCTCTGATCGCGTTAAGGCCTAGCAGGGCGTTTTTAAGTCACAGCATTTTCACGCAAACACATTGTAAACGCTAACGCGAGCGAGTACTTCGAGGTGACATGAAAAGGGAGTTACAGTGGACCTGCATGGAAACACGTTGGGTGTTCTGTGTTGTTGTTGCGCAATGGAGAGATGAAACACTCTGGAAACGGTACAACTTGGAAGGTGCTTTCAAGTAACATGAAAAGGGTTTCACAACGGCGCGCAACATATTTTGAATATCTTCATGCGCACCAAATTCCCGAATCATATTGGCCACGCTTTCAACCGCGCAAGTTTCAAACCCTGGCCAGGGCGCTCGGATTGAAGCAGAGATTATGACATTATGAAGTTGGAACATGTCTTTTTGCATAGGGCCTGGGCGATACCTGGGCGGTACCCGGGCGATACCCCTAAATTCACATTCACCTAGACGCCAAGCCTCGTCTAGCTCTGTGTTATCATCAGAAGCAGGCTCAGAAGGAGCTTTTGCAGGTGGAGGCAACGGTGGGGCAGGCAAGTCAGAGTCCTTTCAGAAAGTTGAAACCCTCTACGTGCGTGGTTTGAAAGCAAGCGCAGACACCGCGGCAGAACCTGACAAACCAACTGAAGCTTTCCCCAAACTGCACACGCTCCCCTGAAGCAAAACTCTTTTAACTAACAACTGTGAATATCTCATAAGCTGATGCTCGGCTACATGGTTTCCCCAACGGCAGACGCTCAGCCGCCACGACTTAACCCCAGTACCCTGTACTCTTCAGAAGGCTCAATGAGTGCAGGCACTGCAACAAGAGCAAATTAAATTACGCTGGCAGCGTTGTATGGTAGGAGTAAATGACTGAAGTGGTACATGGCCACAGTAGAGAAAAGCATGATGCAACTTGCGGCTGGACAAACATTACCGCAGCCGGCTGCCTAACGCCAGATTCAGGTGAACAAAACCAGATGCTTGCTACAAATAATCCCACACCACACTCGAAGATCTTGTCCACGGAAATGGCCCTTCTTTCAGTCAAGGCCTGCTATAAAAGATGCACATGGCACACGTCCGGGGGTGACTATTAGCCTGCGACAGCCCATTCTCGACGCCCCCAAAGGCTAATGCAGGAGAGGCGCAACTTCATCTGCAGTCATCACCTCAAGCCCGGAACTGCGAGCGTGCAAACTGCAGGCGGTTTTTCGATGTACCTCAAAGTGTGAGTAATACACCAGAGCAATCACAAGATCCGAAAGTCAAGTCAACAACAGAGGCATGGATACCATGAAATCCAACCGTCAGCACCCTGTCAATGCTCACGTTCCCGGCCAACACAGAAGATGATAGTTAGTTTCAGGAGGCAATGGAGAAAAAACACGTCGCTGTTCAGGTCCTCTTCGCGTTGAGACACCAGGCTACTCTGCATCTCTGGGGTGCCGGTGGCTCGGGAGGGCAAAAGGGCATCGCCCTGACAGCATTTTTTGCTCTTGCTTCTTCACTTGGGATGGACCAAACATGCAAAACGTTTGGAGAAAACCAGAGGCCTCCGGCAACACTGGACCATGGCACGGTTGAATCCCAGCTGAAGTTGAGCTCCAAAATGAGCACAACACCGTTTACTCGTCTTCCCAGTTGTTTCCAACTGCTTCAGTAGGCAAAGCCATCAACCATCTTGCCACTCAACACCAAAATGGTCACCTGCTGGAGTGGCAAGTGGAATTTCTGGGATCACACCCGGGCACCCCAGACTATTTGAGCGGTTTGACCACGTCTAGGATCTTTTGAGCCGCCGGCGTCCCAAATGCCATCACAGCCCAGGATGCAGAGACTGCCCGACCTGGGCGATAGGTTCGATTTTCTCTCGCCTGAAAATCGGAGGAATCCTTGGATGGCTGGGATGGTCGATTGATCGGACGGTCGATTGATCGGACGGTCGATTGATCGGACGGTCGAAACGGTCGGTTGCCCGGTCTGGATTGGTTGGCTAAGCGGAAGGGGTTCAGCTTGAGATTCAAAGGCTAAGATACGCCCATCTGGCCCTTTTTAGGAAACCCGCCTGGCACCCCCCGAATTCGCTGATGTCCTGAAGCAGCCCCGCAAAAAGGATACACACATAAACAGGGCTCCTTAAAAGATACATTTTGCCCATTGGCTTTTTCCACCAAAATAAAGGGACACCAGCATTTACAAGTTGCAGTGTTCAGGTGTATAATGCATCCGGATCCCTGTTAAAAAGGCAGACCCACGTCGATACAAAGCACCCGGGCGGAGCTGAAGTGATTGGAAGCTTGCGCCGAACAGAACGCTACACCCGGGCTTGATGAAGATTTAGAGTGCCCAAAGTTGTGGTTGGGTTGCTGTTTTTTTTGAGGCTACCCTTTGTGGGGGTGGTCTTTTTTGAAAGGGAAGGCAAACGGAAAGCCACTTCTTCTTCTTCTTCTTCTTCTTCTTCTTCTTTCTTTCTTTCTTTCTTGGGCACAAAGCCACATTGCCAACAAGGAAACCAAGCTCCCCTCTGCCCACGTCCTGCTTGCTTTGTGGGGGGTCAGAGGGTCTCAGAATTTGTTGGACCCCTCCATGTTTTGACCCTGACCCAGGTCCTGAGCTAATTGAACCACACAATTGCAGGCTGTTTTGGCTTGATGGGCTTCGCCAATGGGAGCCCTTCAAAATGGGTGTTCTGTTTGCCCTTGTTGGAACAGAAAAGAGGGAATCCTATTTTGAACGATGTGGCCACCGTCTGAAGACGATTTAAGATCTCAGGAACGGTTCCCACCGAACGACGACAACAAGAAGCGGCCAATGACATTCCCGAATTCCCGTGCTTCTGCTTAAGCAATGTTGGCCTCTGATTCATACCCTATCAGCTATTACACACTGGGGTTCTGATTTGTGGAGATTGTGTTCCTTCAGAGTGCCCCTACCACCAAAGTAGCTGTCACCAGAGGAAACAAAAAAAAAGCCTCCACCATGTGTTTGGACTTACAGCTTGTCATGTACACCAAGCCCAGCACGACAGGGATGAGACCTCGTAGATGTCCGGAATGCAGGACACCTGACTGCGCCACGTGCCTAGATGATCCCAAGGCAAAACAGCGGATCCTGCAATGTCATTCAGTGAGAAAGAGAATGATACCCCTCTGGCCAATATTACGTGGGACCTTAAAGGCATGGGCGAGAGGGAATTCTGACGCCGTACACCGTGGTCTCAAAAGGCCGGCCCCATGTTTGTCACCCCCACATGGGGCAAACTCCTGTGGGCTCTCTAGTCTTCCTGGCGCGTGCCGCTAAGGGCGGCTCCTTCTGCTCGCTGGGTGGCCGTTTGCCTCGGCAAAAGCGCGACTCGGGCGGCACAGCGCCAAGGGCCGACCGGCACAGCGCCTCATATTGTCATGTCATGTCTTGACACGTCAACTCTTGGCCTTGCGAACAAAGCAGGCACACCAAGCTTATCACAAAGTTGGCGCAAGAATGTTATTGGAAAATGCCCAATGTCAATGATCAACAACCGCTGCTACTGACATGTTGGTAAGGCATTGCTGAAATCTACTCCCATGAAAATTGGGACATCTCAAAAGCACCCATGTGTATGCTCGTTCTTGGGTTTCATGTTCATGATCGGGAGAGCAAATCCAACCCCCTGTCATGAAGAGTCCGCGGTCAGGATGTGTGGGCTGAAGTTGGGGCTGATCACGCATCGACCAGTGTTCTTCTCCCCTGACCACAAAGGCTTAGATTCCATGTTGGTACATCAAATTCATGTTTAACCTTTGCCCAAACCATTCACACCTGTTGCTCCAATGTTCCATGATCACTCACCGCTCTTCTAAGCGCTCCTCTAAGCGTTCTTTGAATTACTGGCAGCTGCTCCACTTGGACACTGCGTCTTGCCTTTTCTGTTTGCTTCCGGCAGGTTAGGACCCAACGCTCTGCACAAGTGCTTGGTGATGGCCGCCTTTCACAATGGTTGCTGTACCAAGGTTTGGCAGTCCAACCAACTCAAGATTCCTTTCCGTGTGAGTGTGTGAGTTTATGTTTCCCGTTAAAACCTTCCACGGGTCGAGACAACTGTACGGGGGATCCCGTTTTGAAGGAAAATAGTCTTCCAGGGCCCTCAGTCAGGTTCCATGTTAGTAAGTGGGAGGGTAAACATTTTGCACACGGTTGGTCTCAGCTCCTTGAAGGAAATCAAACTGTTGGATATGTTGCACCCAGCAAAAGCTGTAAGCCGCCAGCAAGTGGGCAGCTGTCTGATTGGTCGTCCCCAGCAAAGCAGCTCTGAATACAAAGCAATGTTTGCAGGACACAGGTTCGATCTTAGCTTCAATTGCGGTAAAGCACTGCCAGACCTCTTCGTGCAGACGGACGGTCTGGTTTGTTTGTACAAACCATCATGCCTGAGGTTCCTGGCATCCTCGCATGTAGATCAAAACAAACATGCTACATCACTGGAAACACAACTGATGGCAGATCATCAGCTGAGATGCCCAGTGGCCATGGGAAAAAAGGGCATCCTTTTTGGGTTGGTTGAGTTTAACGGGGAACCCTTCCAACAAAAAAAGGAAAAAAGGGAGGCACTGGCCTGGGCAACTGGGGATGTGGGATTGTCTTTCATTGCAGAAGAACGCGTGGGGATGATGTGTCCTCTTGTTGGAACGCCGGGCCCTGTTTGCCCCGCCACAAAACAAACTCAAAACCTGAACAGAAGTTACCCTTTGTACAATGCCAGCAGTCCTCCAGCGGGCTCCTGTCAGGCCCCATGCTTGTTTGGGGAGGCTCAAAGAATGACAGTAGGGTCGTCTTAAAAGAACGCAAGGAAAGAAAGAAGCCAACAAAGCAAATCACAGGAAGAAACTGGCAGGAAACAAGCAGAACAAACAAGACACAACTTCGCACATCAACCAAACATCTGTTGCTTTTTTTCCCCCCGATTCCCCTTCAAACCCATCAGATTTGTTTGCTTTCCACACCTTCTGTTGTAAAAAGGAGAAGAAGAAAACAATACGCCACCCCCACGCGGGTTGCATGGAACTCCGAGGCGTCTTTTGTGGCACTGGGCCCGGGCCGTCGCCCTTGTACTCGAAGTCCCCGAGGCCGCGGCTCACCTGGCAACGTGGGGCGAAGCGATGGGAACTGCACAGGGAAACCGAAGGGGAATCCAACTTTTAGGGCGAACCAACTAATCCAATTTTTAGGGCCAACCCAATTTGTGGCCAATGGAAAGGCACGTGTTTTGGAGAAACACGTAAAGGGACAACTGTGAAGGCCATCTGTGTTCAAAATGTTGGCCTCAAACAAGAATGGAACTGCAATTTGTTTTCAACCAAAGGTTGGCCTGAAACGGAGAATGGGCTATGCCGCGCGAAATCACAACTTTTTGGAATGGGTGCTGTGGTGTTTGGAGAAAATCTGCTCCTTTGCCGCCGTAGGTTCCTCTCAAGGCACTGAGGGCTGGTTTCAAAAGCAACCAGCAAACCCGCGACCGCGTAAGAGGGACAGCGGAGACCCCTATCTCACATTTGTTCCCACGTACATCCAAAACTCGCGTGGTCCCAAATGCCTTTCATCCTACTGAGCTGAGCGAGGGGCTGCAAGGCTGCCGTCCAGTCGGGGCGGCTCCTCGCGCAAACCAAGGCAAGCCATGCGATGCCCAAAAGGATGGCGATGGTTCCCCCCGAGAATTGCATGAAAATGCCAAACCCAAGATTGGTAAATTGAGGGGCTTCCGTTGCTCCCTTATTGCTCAAATTTCAGGATTCCATGTACCAAGATGCCAATAACAAGTGGACCGGCGCACTGGATATATATTTTTTGTGCCAGCCACTTTATCTCGAATATGTTTTGTAATTTATTCGAATCCTGCTCCACGGGGTCTGGACAAAGCATCCATCCCGGCCATAGGAAGTTAGGGACCCCGCTCTGGCCATGGCCGGAAGATCTCAGCGAACCTGTCGGCCAATTCTCTTGACAAAGGCGCACGAACCGAACCGTGTTTTCCATGGTGAGCATCCGGCGTGAGACACGGATCCCGTCGCTCGTTTCACCGACTCTGGACGATCTACCCTTTAAGAGAAAGGAAGGCCCTCGGTTGCGAAATCTGCGAAGCCCTGCTAAAAGTGACTGACTTTTAGTGGTTTAATACGGAAACCCATGAGTTGGCAAAAAGTTCTCAAGTCCTAACCTCCCTTGGCCAAATGCAGCTTGCCTGGGAAAAAATCGGACCCCGGCAAAAACAAATCGCTTCTTTGCCTGGTGCGTGGAAAAAGGCAAAGGCGGGGGAAGGCCTTTGGTCCTGCGGCATAAACCGGCGCCCTCCCACAGTTCCGATGCCCGCTCCTCGAAGGACACGGTGCCGCCGGCCGCTTCGATGCGGGCCTTTTCCGTGGGGAAGTCCGGCCTCGGCTCAGCGCTCAGCCGGCTTCAGAAGCCAAGTGGTCCTTTCGAATCCTTGGTTGACTTTGGAAGGGGAGCAAAAGTTCGAAAAACAAATAAGCAGATTCAGTGGGGATTTCCCAAACCACAATAAGCAAAAATGTGAAATGTCTGTCCCAACAACAACCAGGATTCCTGTGTAAGATGGTCGTTGGTAAATCGTCTGAACGCCTTGAGGCTACATCTTTTCTCATGGGCAGCATCCAAAATTCCTGTTGGCCAATTAATTTGGAGATATGAATGGGTCGTAAGGCTCTGCCCACGCCCAAGCTGTGGTTACCATGCCTACCAGCCCTTTGCGGTTCTATTCATTTCCTTTCAAACACGTGGCGAACAAGGTTTCCTGTTTGAAGACACACCCACATGCTCCAGGCATGTGAACGACCAATGACAATGAGAGTTCATCTAAAGCTAGTGAAAAGTACCTTCCAAACAGCTTGTAAAAAAGCGTCTGTACATCGGCATGTACTGCATTCTGAAATGACCTCTGGCCACATGTAAACAGGATGCGATCCCCTTGTTTGGGCCCCGGCTTGTGGTCCACCGTCTCCATGATCAAGGGAAACCTCAGCCAGCTGCGGAAACCCGCGACCCCAAAAAATGGGCGGAGAAACGGGGTAGCCACCCCAAAGGGAGGGAAAACTCCATGAACGCCAAACAAGTAACTAAAATCCCAACAAGTAACCCTGCGCAAGTTCCCTTTGGTCATGGGAAAGAGAAACGACTCACCGGTGCAAAGGAGGCTCTAGAAAGCGCGCTCTGACTCGCTCTTTGCTGCTTGCTGCTGGGGTCCGCGAAGCAAAAGCTCGGAGCAAGCCTGTTGTTTCAGACGATTTCCCATGAGTTGGTCCTAGCAACGCGTAAGCTCCAGCTTTGAAACGTGACACTGATCTGATGCTTCAGGAGTGGACAGAACACCTTGAATGCATGGCACGAAGTCGATAGCCATGTTCATCAAAACGGCAGTCGCCGACAATGAAAAGCGGTTGTTCGCAATAGCCTGGGCCGGCCCCGCAAAGGAGTGGTTTGCCTTTGCCTCAATTCTTGAAGCCCAGAACGGGGTCTTCAGCTGTTCGGCTCTGTTGTTTGGAAATAAACTCTGGACCATGGCCTCTCAAGAAACAGGAAGCCATGCTCACGTTTTTCTCTGCCAAGCTTGAAACCGGCAACTGGATTTTTGGTGGGAGCCTTGAACTGCTGGTTGACTCAGATATTTCTGGGGCCCGGAGTGCTTTGGCGAGCCAGGGCGAACCTTGCGTTTGCAGGGAGGAAACGCATGCTTGAGTTGACATCATAGGAATGGGCAAGACTGTCGTGTTCATTCTTTGGAACGTCTCAAAATGCTAAAGCTGACCGAATAGTGGGAGGCAAATTGCAAAGCACTTTGCACAAACACAAGCACCATGGACTCACGCCGTCATTCACCGGAAGAACAAACTGTTGGATGAGCATCCTCCGCATCACAAGCACTTCCTGCACAGAAGCGCCAGCATTGCCAGCCTTGCCAACATTGCCAGCACCAACACCACCAGCACTGCCACCAAGCACCACCAGCATTGCCAGCATTGCCAGCATCAACAGCATCAACAACATCCAGCATCACCAGCATTGTCAGCATCAACAGCATTGCCAGCATCAATAGCATTGCCATCATCAACAGCATCCAGCATCAACAGCATTGTCAGCATCAACAGCATTACCACGTCACACCAAAGACCAGATGGAAAGAAGCAGACGCACAGTTGCTTACAGCTGGCTTTCCTCAACTTCATGGACTTCTTGGTCGTTTCTCGTTGGATCCAAACTCCTGCGAAAAGGGCTCCGTGCTTTGCGATACTATATCTAATTTGTCCATCTCTCAAAGAGATGTACCTTGTGGGTTGTCCTCGGTCGCTTTCAACCCCTGTGCCCGAAGCAATTTTTGCACTCCTTGTCGAACCCTGCCTCTAGAGGAAAGTTGTCTACAAGTTCACTTCAGAAGTCGTCCGTTTCCCTTGCTGATCTTCAGTGATGCTCGGAGCTCCCTTTGTCTACTCCGAAATCACCTTGCGCAAGCAGGCGCGTCTTTTTCGGGGCACCCCGGTTTGGAGCGGTTCAAAAGGCAACTCAAAGGGAAACAACCCACTCACTTTCCATGTGAGTGTTTGGCCACAGTCTCTCGAAGCCGGCGCGAACCCCTTTTTCCTCGCATTGGGAGAGCTGCCATCCGCCGCGATCTGACGCAAATTCGTGGTGCTTCAAACAGTGGCGGAATTCACATACGCAAAACTTTTGTGAAATTGTCACCAACATGTTTTTCAGAGGGGGGATAGAAAGCCACCTGCGACCGTTATGGCGAAGGCAAGGTTTCGTTGAGCCATGGCCAAATAGCTTTCACTAGGCATGGTTAAATCAAAATCTGAGACATGCTTTTTCGTGAGCCATCATCATTTTGGTGCTTCAACTCACTGCTTTCAAAGGAACATTCAGCACGGAGCAAATCTTGGCGTGTCCTATGTGCATTTATCTTTGCTCCACAAAACCAAGGAAGAGTGATACTGGGAGTCTATCTTCGCAACCAGGAATCATGAAACGCTACAACCTGATACACGCGAATCGAAAATCGCAAGTTTCCCGCCTCACGTAGGACTTCAGAACTTGTCCTGTTCTAACTCCATGTAGCCGAACTTGTTGAGCTTCCGCGGATGGAAGGGGGCCTCGCGCAAGGATCGAAACCCATTTGGGCCCATCCGAATCGGCAAAGACGTGGATGGGCCCGAGCTTCACTTTTTGAGGACTTAGCAGCAGCCCAAAGATCCAGCTCAAGAATGAGTTAGAGGTTAAAGTGCCAAGGAAAAGCTACCACCGTGGTATCACCACGAAAGCAAGATGGTCTGGGGATCCCCATACAAAAAGGACCGGGAAGGCTGCCGCATCTTGTGTCAAGGCCGCGCGCTTTTCTTGGTGTTGTTGGCTCCATGGTTTGCACTCGACACATGGACCATGAGTCCGAGAACCAAGTTGTTATTTGATCCCCAATAATTTGGAGAGCCTTTCTCCCCCCTCCGGTTGAAAATGGAACCACTCAATTGCAGGAAATGCCTGCTCCGGCGATGAGATCTATGCCTTCATTGCCTCCATATTTTTACGTTCGTTTCTGAGGCTTAACATGTGGATGAGCGTCTTGCCATCAACAAACAGCTGCCATACAGGGGAAAACCAATGCTCGAACCTGTACAAGCTATCGGGAACCAGCTGACCGACCCCCGACCTGTGGGAAAAACAAACGTCGTGCCAAACGCTGCGTTCGCATATACGAAAGGCCCCGATGCCACGTAGGCAGCTTCCCTCTTTGTAGCCAACCTACCAGTCAACAGAGAGGTTGTCCAGTAGAGAGGTTAGAATAAGGGTACCCTTTGTTTTGTACTCTATTTCAGTGGGGGAACCCTCCCCCAAAAAAGGGTAAAAGGGCACTACTGGGGGACCTAGTTGTACACCAATTGACTCCAAAAGGCGCGGAGTTGCAGGATTACCCTCCGCTGGGAAGGTTTATCCGAAGCCCCCCCCAAAGAAAAAACAAGAAAAACCCGGCGCCGCCGGTTTCCGCCGCCTCCTCGCGGGTGGGCGCCGTCTCGTCGCAGGGCTCCAGGAAGAAGCGCGCATGCGCGTGGCTCGTGAACTGGGAGTCGTTGCAAGACAGGTTGGGATCTCAGCGCGACAAGGGACTCGACCCGAAAAAAATATGCCGCTCAGATGGCTGCGCCTCACGGCGAGCGGACTTGAGCACAAGCAATGCGAAGACCTTGCTCGTCATTGCTGGCTTTATGTTTCACGCAAGGCAGCTTTGGATGACGCGATTTGAGACGAGAGTTGAACAAAATGCTGTCCAAGGTGCTTAGTCGGTGAATGCGCGTGCCAGTCTTGTTCTTCCTGGACAGAACACTCGCGCTCTGCGCACGCATATGCTCACATGTGAGTGTGTGTGTGTGTGTGTGGACTAATTGAACTGGCAAAGCTCTCCAAACGAACACAGTTGTGATGCCTGAAAAGATTATCAACTCTCAAAGGAGCCCAGCTCCCTCCAACTGTTGCCTGATTCATACCCAAGCTTGCACGTATCAGCTCCAGCAAGCTTCAAGAGGGATTGTATCTAAGTTCTAAGCAACACTTCGGGGGTGGGGATGTTGAGCCCCCCCTCTTTTAGTGCACATTTCGTGCGAAATCCACAGGTGGGGTCTCCAAAATGTCCCCAAAATCATGTCTCCTAGATGGTGCGCCTGAATGCATCAAGGTACCAGGCCCGCAGCGGCAGCAACCACCACAGCTTTTGTTTGATATGGCTGTGGGTCGAAACCAATGGGATCCCATTTTGGGGGATTTGTGCACCACCCATTTTAGAACCTATTTTAGTGGTTGGATTGGTTGATGTTCACGGGGGGCTAACCGATTTGGATTTTGACCCATGGCCATACAGATACAGACCCTGTACATGGGCAGAAGGAGAGCACCATCAGTCTCTGGCATTTGGCTAGTATGACATATCGCCAATGCGTCAAACAAATGCCAGCTCCGAATCTTCCTGATCCTTGGGAATTGGGGCTCCTCTTTTCACACACGTGTTGCTTTGCTTTTCTTGAAGAGCCACGCAGAGTACTTGTTTAGACCTCAAAAGCTTCGGACGCCGACCACGTCACCGGCCTAATGCCCTTCCAAACAAAAAGGGACAAAGAGGGCCAGTGATTGAAATGACGAAGCCAGTGCCCATTCACTCCAGGGTTGCTTCCCCCAAAATACAAAGAAGAGCATCCCAAGAGGTGGAAAACGTGGTACACACCCCACTCGATCCGCCGCTCCGGATGGCTGCCCGTCCTCCTCATGCGCCAGGTCTCCTGACGGATCGAATCGAAGAACCCACCGACCCCGACGCGACTCGCATCCGAGGGCATCCTCTGCCACAGGGCCACAGAAGAGCGTGTTCTGCGGCACCTCCCTGGAGACGTATCCGGCCAGCTGGTCGTAATGGTCCATCAGCTGGTTGACGTCACTGGCAGGGCTGCTCAAAGCAAGCGAGGGCCCATGGGTTCGCACCCACGTGCTAAGCAGCCCCATGCCCAGATCTTCCAGCTTTTGGGACAGGTTGTAGCTTATTGGGCCTTGCTTTGCGAGAAGGGTCTTGCAGAAGTGTGATGGAGCATAGATATTCGGGTTTGTTTTCCAGGTGAACGACTCGTTCTCGCAGGTTGTTCCACTACCGGATGCAGTCCTCCTGTATACTGTTTCTGCTCCCTTGAATTGGCCTCTGTCACCTGTGTGAGGCACCGTCAAAATGGCTTCCACGAGGACATGGACAATTACTGGGGTCCTTGAAATTTAGTGAGTCACCCATATCCCCAAATGGCTGTCTTTTCTTTGTTTGCTTGGTTTTAAAGGGAACCCGGGAAAAACCGCCAAAGACACACCCAAAGGACACTCGACAGACTCATTTTTGACCAAAGCTCAGCGGGGCAATCCGACTTCCGCCTCAGTTTCAGGTCCCAGCGCCGGAACTCGTCCATCCGCGCAACGCTGCCAGGCTCCTCGATCTCGATGCAACAAAGGGCTAGGATGGAAGTGGCGGTTTTGGCAAACCAGGTGTGTCTTTCTCATAAATGGTGGTTCCTTTACAACCACAAAAAAGGCTAGTCTGGTTGGCTTCTCTCATATGATTTTTATATGACTACACATACAATCTTATTCTCGGGAATGCTCCCTATTCTGGGAAGTTCAAGATTCAAGCTAGCCAGGCTGCGACGCGAGGGTGCAAATAAAAGCCTTCACAGACACTGACCTGTCCGAAGCGTCAGTGCCTGAAGGATTTGAAAATCCAAGCCCAACCTTTTGAGGAAACAAAGACCTGCGAAGAAGAAACTCGGGCACTTAGGTTGATATGACATAGCCACCAGTGCTCTTGTGTCTATCCTTCAACATAGGTCACGGGGTGTTTTGACCTCCTTAGATGGGAAAATTGGGCTGTCTTTTGTGGTGAGAAAGTGGAGGGTTCTCCCTCTTGGCTCCACTTTATTGGACCTATCAAGGACTCGACTCAGGACACCTGAGGGTCAGCCCTTCTAGTGGTACCTCTCTTACCTGCTCCAAAAATGATGCTTGACACAGGGATCCTTACATTATACACCTGAACATTGCCTTGTAAATGGTTTCCCTTTGTTTTGGTGGAAAAAGCCATGTTTCAAATGGGCAAAATGTATCTTTTAGGGAGCCCCGTGACAGCAGACTTACTTCCGCAAGCCACGAAGGCACAGGCGCGAGGGACCAGAGTCGAGGGTGGCATGCGTCATCCAAGCAGAGGGCATCCCCCAAAAAACTCCCCGTCGGCATCTGGCCTTGCACAGCTCGCACAGTCCTTCCTCAGCGCTTGGGCGGGGAATGCGCCGGATGTCCTACGCCGGTTGGGTCTTCCAGTGGTCTTCCGAGTGTGATGTCTGAACGTGTTTTTTGGTTTTCGGGTATCGGACAATCTGCCCGTAGTCCTGCTGTAGGTTTCCCGTTGTGAGTTGTTTCTTTGTCGGTGTACTGCCTTCCTGTAGCTGCACAACTCTTGCGATAGCTGGTTTTCAGAGGTCATGGTAGCCACAACCTTGTCGTGGTAAACCCGCCCTCACCCGTTCAAGAAGCCACTCGTCATAAAAGGTTCCCAAAGACTTCAGCCTTCACCTTGCCATACTCGGTTCCCGGCAACAACTCTTATTCTAGCTTGTTTGGCATCTTGAAAAAACAAACATCGCAAAGATCCTTCTGTTGGTTTTGTTTATTCGACTGCAGCAATTGATGCTTTCTGAGGCAGTCTCTCAAAAGTCCCATGCAAACATTACCCGAACCCAAACGAACCTTACCCGAGACCTTGCCAGCCTGAAAGGGCGAAACGTGGTCATTGGGAAGCACTGACCAGCCCAATCGGTTTGCGGCCAAGCTCAACTAGAAAGAACACCAGGTTTGACGAAAAACAAAATGACAATCGCGCAGCAAAAAGATGCCAGGATTCACTTGACCTTTATTTGACATGGCTGCAGCTCAAAGGAGGAGGCAGTGCGTGGTGCAGCAACCCATGAGTATGCTGTCCGAGTTGTTTCAACACCGCAGGCGGTCAGAACATTGCGGGCGCCATTTCAGAGGCCTCCTTCAAAGCAAAGCCCTACAGCAGAAATTCAATTCCTGGCAAAGCTTTTGCCGAATCCTACCTGTTTTGAAGGCTTGAATTGGACAACCGGTTCCCAAGAGGATTCAAAAATGACAAGCTGCGCGAAGGGGCGCACTTCGTTGCAGACCCATTTTGCCCCGCGCCCGATAGTCGTTGCCACAAACCCTGACCGTACCTCGTATGACGGTCAGTGTTTCAAGGTCATTCACAGTAGAACTCACTGTGGAACTGGCAGCAGTCAAAACTGTGTCAGCCACATGCTCTACTCAAACGCAAACACTACCATCAACGCGTCAGTCAAGTCAACTGGCACGTCAGCCAATCTGGGAGGCTTTAGTAGCTCGTAACTCACCGACTCATCGTTTGTTAGTTCATTCCCTGGCTTGGCCTGTGCTTTTGGCAACATGCCAGAGCTGTTGCGGCAGAGACTCAAACCTCAATTCTGCGCATGCCATGAGCATGCGCTCTTTCTCCTTACAACCAAACTGGCCCCTTTTCCTCTGCCTAGGCAGCCGACACATGACACCCCACATGCAGATCGAACCAGGTGCCATTTGCAAAGTCAGGAGGACCTGGCTATAGACCCGAGGGCGTTCGCTTCCCCCCCTCTTGACAAGGGGAGAGAAAGTCTTTGCCACGAAAGTCTGACATTCGAAGCACAGGCAGGTTGCCCCATCGCGTGACAGGCTTTGAGCTGCTTTGCGGTACATGAAGCAAGCGCAAGCTGAGCAGCAATCACACAGCGTGTCATGTTGGAACGATGCAAGCCGTTCATCACGCATAGTCTCCAAAAACAAGGGCCCAAGCACACAAGCAAAGGATCAATCCCACATACTGCGCTAACAAAGAAATTCCTCCCCTTACAGGTGAAACACTCGAAAACCGGAGGCCAATTCGGAAAGAAGGATTGCCTTCGCATCTCTTTTGCCCCCCCCCCCCCCCCAATTGCCTTGCCCTCTGAGGCACATCTGTCCGGAGTTCAAGCCGCTGCCGATCTTCTCCCCGACTCTGGCAAGCAGAAACAGCTGAAACACTGAGGGGCTGGGGATTTGTACTCACAGAACCTAGGTCCTCCAGTAGAGAGGTTAGAAGGGTATCAACTTCTTTCTGTAGTCTATTTTAGTAGGGGAACCCTCCCCCAAAAAAGGGTTAAAAGGGCACTACTGGGGGACCTAGAAACCTTTCAAGAAAACTGGCTGCTTGCTCACATGTGGATCGCTGTTACCCAGCAGGCGGCATCCTACAACATTGGCGTCATGAAGGCCCAATATGATTGCCATCAGCCGGCATCGTCACCAGTCATCGACGTCTCATTTTGTTGTGTGTGTGTGTGTCTCGTGTTTGTGTCTGTGTGTGCTTGCAGCAAAGCAAACCATGTCCAAGCACGAGTACAGCGGATCTTGCAACTTTGCTCACCAGAAAACTGCTTTTTTCTGCCAGAGTCTCGTTAGAAAAGATTCGCAGACCCAGCGGCTACAAGAAGGTGAGTTGGTCGTTTCTTAGAGCCCCGTTGGTGCAAAGAACAGCCAAGGAGCTGAGTCACTTGCGGTGGCGGGCTCAAATGATTCACGGGCCCGGAAAATGGGTTGTCTTTGTTGGTTCCCTGCAAAACGAGCCCACAGAAGGTGTTCCAAACAAACTGCGCATCATACTTCGATCTCAAGAAAGGGGAAGGGGAACCTCCACCATCGTCAAGGTCCCAGCGAGGTAAGCATTGTTGCGCATGCGTCCAAAACAAGACCTGAGATGCCAGATGCTGATATGGGCCATATCTGTTTGGAGGGTACTTGTTTTGGTGGTTTGAAACGCAAAGGAAAGCCACCATTTGGGGGGGATCCCCTAAAACAAATGCTTGTAACCGGGACCTTTTGTTTTTTTTTTGGGGGGTCCCCCCAAAAACAATACGACGAGCCACCTACGTCCAAGAAGCCTTCGCCAGGCCTTGACTTTGTAGATGGGCCCGCTGCTGGGGTCCGGCAATGGGTCGCCTCCAAAGGCATCCGCAACACGAACCGAGGGGCCTCCGTTGGGCTTTGGGTCAAACATAAGCCCCAAGTGGAACCCGGGGTCGCTGCCATTCCTCCCACCAACAGAAGGCATTTGCGGGAGGGTGTCTGGAAGATATGTTGCCTCTTTAAGGGCCCTTTATCGGGTGCCATGTGGAAAAAAAGGGAACTCAAACCTGCGGTCCAATGCTTGGTGGCGATTCTTGTTTCAGCCATACCCGTTTGCCAAGGGTTCATAGACTGCTTGCCGCTCAGGCCAACTTCCCCCTGAACTGTGAACTGTGTCTGAAGCTGCATACTGTACTTTGTTGGCTCGAGACCATTTCTCAGGATGAGGAACGGCACTTGGTATAAAACTTGTCGAGCTCGGCTTGCGTTCCATCCCTCCACTCGACTTCCCAGACACATTCTCGAATGCACCTGAGGCCTCTTATGGCAACTCCCCCTGAAGTATGTTTCTCACCAACGAACAAGGACCCTGACACCGAATCTCAAACACCCCTATTGGAACACGAGTTTCCCCTTCAAAGCAAGCTTGTGCACTTGACACGCATATCGCCTTTGCCAAGGGTAGAAGGGCAAGAAGGGTAGTGTGGTTTTAGGGCCGCTCCTTAGACGCTTGCCCGGCCCGAAATTCAACGGTCATGTGAACAAATGTCAATTGGCTAAACACGGGGGCTCAATCAAAGCCGATTTGCCTGGCCGTTAAAAAGGCCGTGGCTGGGTTCTAGGACTCTGACTTACATGCAAGAAATTCGTAACTAGATTTGTTGTGTCCACAACTACGCTAGCTTGCCGATGCTCTTCAATGACGCAACCTCTATACAATATCCAGGAGACCTCGAAAACAGTCTGGCTTTGCTTAGAAACAGTGCCTGTACTTTGAAAGGGCCAGCCAGCTGGCTAGCCAGCCACCAAATAGACAAGCAAGCAAAACAGTAGCAACAAAAGATCGGACACTATAAACTAACCACAGGCAAGATAGCGATCAAACCATTTACACCATTACAAGCAGGGCTCAACAGCAACGACCACGACCTCCACAACAAGGACGTCAACAACGGCAGCGACAACGACAACGGCAACAAAGAACCAGCTCTAACCAAACCTGGAGTCTCCGTGACCCTTTAAAAATGGGTCCATGACCCCAGTATTTTGGGTAATGACACCATTTTTTAAGGGTCAGAAGGAGACTCCAGGAACCGCTTTCCGCCCTTTGCATGGGGCTCCCAGCTGCCGTTGCTGGTCCTCAGCCACTGCGCTGGCAGCTTGGCAAGGCGGGGGTCGCTAGCGAGAGCCACTGGCGAGTGTGCCTGGCCGTTGGCGAGCGGGCGAAATGAGTGACGGTTCATGGGACGGAGGGAGGGAGGGATGGAGGGAGGGAGAGCGAGTTAGAGTTAGAGTTTTGTTGGCCCACTCAAAGAGAAAACCCACACAGGGGAAGTTCTTCAGAGAGCACCATGCAAAGGGGCAACCAAACAAAGACCCACTTGAGAAGGGGAGACACGAAAGGTAGGATACCGTAAAGTGATTCCCCTAAACAATGGAACGTCCAGAGACAAAGCCTGGAGGTGTTGGTGCTAAAACTGAGGCACCCCCAGCACCGTACAAATTGTGCAGAGCCCACTATGAAGCAGACGTGCACTGAGTGTCCCATATCAGCTGCAGAACAGGGTGCACCATGACTTGACTGGGTGGGCCGGCCTAACACAAGAGCAAACCGGTGCCAAAAGCGGACCGAAGTGTGAAGCGAAGCGAGCGAAACGAGTGGCGGGAAGACCGGAAAAAAGAGCGAAGCTGCAATCAGGCAGGGCCCAGAGCGCGGACCAGGGTGGAGTCGAAGGGGTGGGGGCCGATATCTCACTGGTTTTGAGGCCGGACCGACAGCCTTGCTAACGCAAGACAAACCCAAGCTACAAACCCAAGCTAGCCTCCTTGAGGCTATTTCGTGATGTTTTGAAACTTGCCCGCTGTTTTCCAGCAGAATATGAGAACCCTTTTGTCGCTTGATTTTCCAGGGAAGCGGCAAGAGGAAAAAGGGCGGAACCTACAGAACTGCCCGAAGCACGGGTGTTGATAACCGCGGATCGGTGTGAGCCACAAGTGGCCTGGTGTTTTTTTCTAGTTTTCACAATGGCGCACTTAGAGACCCTCCGAACACGACCAGTTCCATGATGTGCCACAATGTGTCACGATGTGCCATGATGTGCCAAGATGCTCCAACAATAAAGAAACAAGGATAGACATCGGTTGAATTGATGGGGATTTAACACAAAACAAAGCTGTCTTGCTCCACCACAAGGAAAAGAATAATCTCCCTTGGCACCTTCAAGGTGGATTCTGGCTCGAAAGGAAACCGGCTATTTAAATCGGCTATTTGGAGGGTACTCGATGTTGAGTCCCAAAAAACATGTCCCACAAAGAACAACCGAGTAGAACGATCGATGTACGCTTCCTGAACTGAAGTCCGAATCAAAGTATGTACCCTCACTTCCGCTAACATGGCACCAAATGATCTTGCAGGTACCCTCCCACAGGTGCTATGATAGTGGAAGGGAGGGTAACGCTGGACTCACAAGAGAAACGCTAGAAATCACCTGATCTCGAATATATTTTTAACAATAACACTCCCTGTATGAATCGAAACATCATGATACCGGAACCCTATTCCCACTTGAACTTGGAAAGTGAGTACATGAAAAACAAAAAATAGACAACACTGGGATAAACAGGACACTCAACGCAGGAACCGCACAACCGCACACAACACTGCACAGTGCAGCACAGCACAGCACAGCAGTACACTGCACCGCAGCACTGCACTGCACTACATTACACTACACTACACCACACAACACTGCACTACACTACACTACACTGCACTACCCTGCACTGCACTACACTACACTGCACTGCACTGCACTACACTACACTAGATACAAAACCGCACAGCACCAGAATATAACACGCTACACCGCACCACACTGCACAACAAAGACAAACCACCCTTTTCACACACACACACACACACGGAGCAAACAGCGCAGAAACCACGCAGCACACAGACCACGCGCACACACACACAGGCAGACCACGCACACACACAAAATACATGCACACAAAACACACAAAAAAAAAAACAAAAAAAAACGCCACACACACACAAACACAAACACACAACACACACACACACACACAAACAACACACACACACACACGCACAGAGCACACACTAAACTTCGCACGACACACGAAAGCACGCCACACACACACACACGCACAAAGCACACAAACCTGCGATGTACTGTGCGTCGAACCTTTTTTTCCCAGGGACGATAATTCCTGCCTCCCGCGCATTCTCCATGTGAAGCGCGCACAGTCAAGCGAAGCCAGTGATCCAACGGACACTTTGGGCAGTAGCCTCCAGGCTGTTGATTTGTGCCTTTTTGAGGGTACCCTTTTTGGCGCATGTTTTCAGGGACACCAAAAGGAAGCCAACCCATTTTGGGTGTCTGAGACAAACCCAGATGCACTTGTGAGCCAAGTCTGTGAGCCAAGCGGCTCGATCCTGGGCCGAGAGGTTTTTTGTGAACGTGTCCCTGTTCGGAAAATCGATGCGGATGGAAGACATCGCTCAACAAAAAAGCGCCAGCGAGTTCTAAACGAACGGACATCTATGATAGCAAAGCTGGTGTAAGCTTGGGGACAAAAGGTGGGCATGGTGGGGATTTATGGTCTGACCACGCTTGAGGTGGTTCCAACTCTTCAAGTTCGTGGCCTACTTTGCAAGTTCTCAGACTTGAGTTAATAATATTGTTCTTTAGATTGTAGGACATTGTGGCTTCCAAGTGCGGACAGTGCACAGTGTCAAATGTAGCAAGACAACAGGGCAGAATTACAGTTTTGTCAATATTTAGTATCATGTTTGTATTCTCTGTCTGACATGTTTGAGGCATACCATACAATCAGCAATCTACACAAACAATTCTCATGCTATCAGGTGCTTCGCATCTTGCTTTGAGGACACTTGCCCCATCAAAGGCCCGCCATTTATATATAAACACACAAATGTCTGCAGACAATTCCGCCAGATGCGGCAAATTCGGCTCGCGCCCAGGGTGAAGTGGAAATAATCGGAAAGCAAACACAACTTACCACCAGAGCGATCGTCTCAACAGTGGACTGGCGCTCAATCAAAGCCCGTCTCAACGGCCGAGTCAACGGCATAGGACGATCGTTCAACCAGAATGACTCATCTGGTCAAAATGGTGGTACCCCCAGAATTGGGGCGGGTTTCTCGCTCCCTTTAAAACCCCTTTACAACCCACACCTCATTGGTTGGGTTTCTCATTCCCCTTACAACCCACACCTCATTGGTTGGGTTTCTCGTTCCCTTTAAAACCCACACCCCAAAAAGGCGGTTTCCGAGCCTCAAAACAAAGAACACACGCTCCCCAAGCTCGAAGCATCGGACATCAAAAAACCGCTGGGCTTGCCGCTTGCACCGGTTCGCGAAGGCCTCCTGGCATGGACTGTTCTGACTCTGACGGCCCGGGTGATCCCAATGGGTCTGCCGGATTTTTGAGGGACGTGGGTTGTTTACAGAGAAACCTTCAGGAAACCCCCCTTCCCTCAGTGAGATCACGGTTCCAGATTGGGTTGGGATCAGAAGGTAAATCAAACATGCAAGTGCTGACATACTTATCTCGCTGCTGAATTTCGGGCGCACTGAAATGTTGCGAGTCACAGCAACATGTTCAAGCAGCCATCGGGCCTGGCGTGACAGCAACGGAACATGCCGAAAAACCACATGGGCCATATGAGCCAGGGGCACAATCATGTCTGGCATAGGAGTCGTAGTGGAGACCTTGAACGGTTTGCGACAAGAGTCAGCAAATGACATTCCTATTTTGGAATTTCCACGCGGCAGGTGCCATTGCAGACCATGAACTAGAGTTCCATGTGCTTCACTTTCACAAATGAAGCACCAGCGATGCCTACAAAGAAAGCAACCACGCTACTCAAAAATAAACTAAATGACTGCCTTACAGTCGGCAGAGAAAGCAAATGTCGGGTCGCACGGGAAGCAGGAAGCGGCAGAAGCAACAGGGAGCAGCCGCATCAGCATCAGCATCAGCATCAGCATCAGCATCAGCATCAGCATCAGCATCAGCATCAGCATCAGCATCAGCATCAGCATCAGCATCAGCATCAGCATCAGCATCATCATCATCATCATCATCATCATCATCATCATCATCATCATCATCATCATCATCATCATCATCATCATCATCATCATCATCATCATCATCATCATCATCATATGCATCTGCATCTGCATCTTCATGTTCATCTTCATGTTCATCTTCATGTTCATCTTCATCATCATCATCATCATCATCATCATCGTCGTCGTCATCATCATCATCATCACCATCATCATCATCATCATAATCATCATCATCTGCATCTGCATCTGCATCTTCATGTTCATCTTCATCTTCATCATCATCATCATCATCATCTTCATCATCATCATCATCATCATCATCATCATCTGCACATGCATCTTCATGTTCATCTTCATCTTCATCATCATCATTATCATCTGCATCTGCATCTTCATGTTCATCTTCATCATCATCATCATCATCATCATCATCATCATCATCATCATCATCATCATCATCATCATCATCATCATCATCATCATATTCTTCTTCTTCTTCATCTTCATCTTCATGTTCGTGTTCGTCTTCGTCTTCGTCTTTGTCTTCGTCTTCGTCTTCGTCTTCGTCGTCATCATCGTCATCATCATCGTCATCTTGTGAGCTTCATCTTCATCGTCATCATGATGCAAGCGAGCACTTTTTCGCAATACACAAATGCCCCTCATAGCAAGTGACGCAGGAGGTGCTCAGCCACCCATTGCACACAGTCCAAGTGCCTCGGGCGAACTCTACTGGGAACAGCAGGGAATGTCAGAACTGGTCCAGTTGTGCCAATCAACTGATATTGCATCTGATCCGGGATGATGAGCAGCTGCAGATACCAAGATGTACATGTCCGCCACACATGCTGCAGTCTAACAAAAGTTGCAAGAATTATGAGCATCCTCTGCAAGTGCATGACCAGCAAGGTGGGCAATCTGAGGTACTAGTACCACTCGTTTTTGTCAAAAGAAACATTTGCATGCCGCTGCGTTGGTTGTGCGAATCATGTTTGCACATGAGGCACCTAAGCACGCAGCCGGAAGCGCCCGAGTTGTCCCTCCATGCCGGGTCTGGCGAGAATGCGTTAGCCTCCAACACGGAAAAATGGCGAAACCAAAGTCTTCACCGGAGCCATCCGCTGCTTTTCTTCGTAGCCCTGCGCTGATTCGCACGGCACGCCTTTGTGGCCGGCGCCTTGGCCCCATGTCCTGCCAATCGGAAGGCGCGGTGATGCCCTCTGATGGTCTGACACGGTGGGCTTCCGAACTTGCAACGGCCAAAACCAGTAGGACGGGGGGGGGGGCGCAAACAGACACCAGGACTTCAAGGTCCAAACTGGTCAGGGAAAGGTGAAGGAAGAGTTTGCAGCTGCGTGGGCCTGCGACAGGTGCTACACATGTGAAACAAACTTGCCGTACTAGGTCCAGTAGAGAGGTTAGAATAAGGGTACCAACTTTTTTCTGTAGTCTATTTTAGTAGGGCCCCCCAAAAAGGGTAAAAGGGCACTAGTGGGGGACCTAGAGTATAAACGTGTTTGCCAAATACGCCAAAGGGCGAGCTCTCAAGACGAGCTTCGCCAAAGGCCCCGCTAGGCCTAGGCGAAACCGCCATTCGCTTGGCCCCCACGCCGCTTCCGGGGCCCAGCGCTTCCAAATGCTGCGGCCTGCGCGTGACTCGCGGACTGGCGGCGAAGGAACAGGCGATGCCTCCCCGGAACACCGCGCAAAAGAGTTGATGGTTTCTTGCTGCACTGAGCCGCAAGGATCACGGGGAACCATCTCTGAGTTTACCTTAACCCAGTCCTCTACTGCCCTGAAAGGGTCCGGGATCATGAGCACTTCAACCCAATCGCTCCAGCTGCTAAGAGCCAATTTCGAACCGAAACCTCCCCCTGGAATCCTCAAGGAACCTGCCCCACCCTAAGAATCTGTCACCCACCCTGCCGCAGAACAAATTCAACATTTCAAAAGCCCATAATCGAATGTCCTGTTTAACTACAACAAACGCTGACAGCAAAGAGTAACCGCACAAAGCGAACCTTAAAAATCCGCCTCTGCGAATTGCCCATTTTCCTGACACCTCCAAAGCGACTCTGACCCTTTGCTATATGGAACTTGGTTGCTCTTGACCCCCCTGCAAAAAGTTTTAACTTTTTCGGGGTTTGGTGGAAAACACCATTCCCCAAAAGTTGAAGTCAGATCCGTAACCCAATAGCAGTGAAGGGCAGGCATCCGCTGCTTTCTGCAAGACCGGCTGTTTCCTTCAAGGGTCCCCGCCAGGTGCCCAGCAAATCCCCTTTTCTGAGGCGTCCACCGCCGCACGGGCAATGTGGCGTCCAGTACCTCGCTCGCGAGGCCAGGGAGAACCACTGAAGCACCTACTCCGAAAGGCGCAAAGATCTACGAGTCTCTATGACAATTTAAAAAGGGGGTTATTACTAACCCAAAATAAGGGGGTCAAATAAAAACCGGGTAGTAAAGTGGTCGTATTCCCAGAACCATGCTTCAAGAATTGAAAAGGCGGATATCCGCAGCTATTTGTGGCAAGGGGATTGCCCCTTACCCGGGTTTTGATTGAGGCTCAACTGAAGCACGCCTTGTCCACTTCTTCGGACAAAGTCCCAATTGCAGGGGCGTGCACTCCAGTTCGAATCCCCCCTCTTGCGAAGACCGGACCTGGTATCGCTTGTCAAGGCGGCCTTTCAGCCGTCAGCATAGTCGCATAGAACATCAATCTCGCAACAAAAAGTCCGCTTCTGCCTATGGCCCGGCAGTGTCCATCGGCCAATGTGCTTTTGTTGTTGAAGGTTGCGCCAAGTGTCATGTTGGGATACCGTACAGTTCCTTCCACTCCTTCCTCACATGGCAACAAAAGCAGATTTAGAAAGAGCTGGTTTCGTCAGCTTGCAAAAGGAATCCCCGAACCACGGGCTTGGTTTTGATGATGAAGCTTGCGATAGCAAGATCCTGAATGTATCAGAGTGCACGAGTAGACAAGTCATCGTAACCACTTCATAAGCAAACCTGCAGCTTTGGTCCTTATGTTCTTTCAAGGCGGTTCAAGGAGGGAGCAAAATGTGCGCAACGTGCCAATACGTTCCGGTCCGGGCCCCCTCACAGTGTCTCAGAAGCGAATGCCTGTATTCTTC